ATTGAAAGTATTAATGGAGCATTTGTACAAACTCGTGAGATTTGATAGTTAAATTCAACATTTGAAAAGTTTGGGGACTAAATTATAAATTTTTGAAACTTGTATCAAATCGATTAATAATGATTTTGGGATGAAGAAGACTTAATTACAAATATTAGAAAATGAAGGATTAAAGTCACATGAAAAAAGGAGTCCAATCGAAAATTATTTTTTTTCCTTTTCTTCTCAAACTCTTTATGAAAATCAATTTGTACAAAATTTTTGCCTAAATCTTGATCTATAAATACATGTCTTAGAGTATCTTCAAGAGATTCTTTAAATATGAGATGTTCGTTTTATTTAAAATTATACTCCAAAATACTCTTTAAATTAACATTTTAATTTAGAGAGTGGCTCTCTATAATTAAATGCATTCAAAGTGTTTCAATTTTCAATGAAAGAAAACAATAAAATAATTTAAAGAAAAGTTAGTTAAAATAAAAGATAAAGAAAAATAATAAATATTTTTTGGGAGTTGTAAAATTAAGTATTAAATATAAAGGTCCTTGAAGTACTTCAAAATTTTAATTCTCTAAATTTATAGATATTCTCCAAATGATAGAATATACTCTTTAAAAATTGAGAGTCTCTTGAAGATGCTCTTAGTCCAATAATTAATGATGACTTGTACGATTTCATTGTACACATATAATCAAGCCGATGCTTGAGGTTTCAATCTACGCATTATAACAAGCCAAATGAGCTTTTTGGAACATAAAAAGGCCAAATCAATTACAAGAAAAGAGATCTCCAAAGAAGGAAAAATCAAGAAACCAAGGCCCTATTCTCTTTACTGTTTTCAAGTCGTTTTCTGATTTCAATTTTCAAAAATGGTGAAAATGCGTTCCCTATTTCTGAAAACACGTTTTTGAAAATGGCAAAAAAATTTACACACAAAATAGAAAACGTGGTTTTCCATGTTTTGTGAGTTTTCAACAGAAATCAAGCCAAAACGCCCAAAACGCGGCACTGTTCCAAAAACACGGAAAATGACCTCCAACCCTCTTCCTCTTTCCCCTCTCTACCTCTTTCCCCTCTCTTCTTCTCTCAGAAAACTGAAAATCAAGTTGTTCCCCTCTCTTCTTCTCTCAGCTCGCCGGAAGATTTGTATGATAAAGAATATTATGACGAACAATTGCCGAAGAAGAAGCGCCGTCTCACTCCTGAGCAGGTCAAATTTTACCCTATTGTAATCCTTTTTAGATAATTTTTTGCATGTTATTTGACAAAATAGCTGGGCACTGTAGTAACTCCATAATCTGATGCATAAACGAGGAAAAGTGATTTAATTTTGTTG